AATAAGCTACTAGGAACAAGTGCATCGCTTCTAGTAACAAGTGCCTTACTAGTAGTAGCAAGAAGCTACTAGAAACAAGAATTAAATTAGAATTGTCCTTTCTTTCAAAACCACAAGGAACCACCACAGCATCGGCGGATCAAACCAAGTCACGGACGGCCACCTGGCATTGAACGTGGCGAAAAAGCACAAACAAATCTCGCATGGCCTCCAACCTAATAGCCTTTTTGTTACTAGTAGTGAGGCCAGGAGCCCCTAGTAGCTTCTTGTTGCTACCAGCCTTCTTGCTTCGTTCGTAGCGATGCCAGGAGCCCCTAGTAGCGTCCTTGCTCCTAGTAGCAAGGCCAGGAGCCCTGAACGTAGCTTCTTGTTCCTAATAGCGATGGCCTCCAACCTTGCATAGTCTGAGACTCTGCAATTGTTGCCACTGTGAATGATGCGATGGTGTGCAATGGTCCAATCAATTTCATGCAAGCAAACCACATGCTTGTGCTGGCAAGACCTCTCTCCTTCAAGGCCTTCTCTTTGGAATGCAAAGCAGCCAATATTGTGCCTACCACTACCAATAACACTAGGACGACGACTACTGTTCTTCCTACTCCTTCTTCCTGCTACTTCTTTGAACCATGTCTGGCCCGTTGGCCTTTTGCTATCCTTTACTGTCGCCAACACCCTGTCTCAAAGCCTTTGACCATAATGGATTTTCAGGCAGAACATAAATCTCGTGTTGGAACACTGCAAGGACCTGTGCACAGTTAGAGACTATCAGCTTTTCAGCTGAACGTGTATTCAGTGGATGCAATCAGGCTTCGCCTTGCCAAAGCTATGCGCAATCCTTAGAGATGCTAAGAATGTGAAGTTTCAAGGACTCAGCATGAGACAAGGCCTTGATGTCAAAAACAATAAGCTACTAGGAACAAGTGCCTCGCTTCTAGTAACAAGTGACTTACTGGTAGTAACAAGAAGCTATTAATTTTAACTTAATTCTAATAGCTTTTTGTTACTACTAGTAAGGCACCTGTTACTACTAGCGAGGCACTTGTTACTACTGAATGCAATGATTATCTGCGGGTCTTCACAAATGCGTAATTTGTGAAGTCGGAGTTTTCGTCAACGCTATTAGAAACAAGTGCCTCGCTATTAGGAACAAGTGCATCGCTACCAGTAGCAAGTGCCTCTGCAAGCAAAGAAACTCGTCCGGATGTGTGAGGCGAGGCTACGAGGCAAGGCTACTCGATTTGAGCGATTTTAGCTGAACTAGTAGTGAAGTGCATCGCCATTAGGAGCAAGGAAGCTGCTAGGGGCTCCTGGCCTTACTACTAGGAGCAAGGACGCTACTAGGAGCAAGGACTACTGGTGGCCATCGCTAGTAGGTTGGAGGCCATTGCTACTAGTAGCAAGAAGCTACTAGGTTGGAGGCCATCACTATTAGGTTGGGGGGCAGAGCGGCATTTAAAACATTCAAATCAAAAAACACCTAGCGCAGGACCTACCTGCGTGCACAGTGTTAAACCGTCTTTGAACTTGAACTTCAGCCCAGAAAAACGACCTCGTCGATTCCTTCTATTCTCCAGAAAGGCCCCAAAGAGCATTCCGAAATAATTGAAATTCTTTTGCTATTTTGCACAACTTTTTGTTTCTAAAGACCAAAGGTAAACGTCGGTGTCTCTCACAAGCTAAACTCCTTCGCATCAGTTACATGATGTACAAATCCAAGATTTGGACATGGTTTGTTTGGTAAAGCGCTGTCCGAGTTTACATACACATACGTCACGTTACATTGATGGGCCTACTCGCTATTGTCCATAGTTCGCGTCCTTGCTCCTAGTAGTAAGGCCAGGAGCCCCTAGTAGCTTCTTGTTACTAGTAGTATGGCCAGGAGCCCCTAGTAGCGTCTGATCGCTCCGCCCTGAGTCCGGCCGGCCAAGGCACAATGCCAAGTCCAGCGGCGCAAGAAAATCGATCTTCTCGCTCAATCCCTCCGAAAGCTCCTCGACACATAACGGCGACGCGACCGGTGAAGATTGGGCTGTAGAGTGGGAAAAAAACAACACAACCTTCTGTTGTGTAAGGTGGAAGGGACACCGGAAGCAAAAACCGGTGAGTCAGAAGAAGTTGTCATAGCAAAAGCAGGAGGAGTCGTAGTAGTAGCAGTACTTGTAGCCGCAGCTGGAGGATAAGGTGGTATTCGGTGTCATCATCGTTGGGGTTTGTCACGATCAGAACTTCTGTAGAAGTGTTCGAATGTTCAAACTCTCGCTCACCGTTTTAGCCACAAAGGCTTGCTTTGTGCCAACGAACACAGATAATGAGGCAAGAAAAAAAACAGGATAGTTGAGAACAGGATTGAAACACAACAAAAAGGCATGTCTCAAAAAAACACAGACATCTAAATTTCAGTGCAACAAAAGCAAAAAGAGAAGCAAAGACCGAAGGCCCAAAACGAACCTGTGCGTTTCTCTTTGTTTCAATTGCATCTTCGCACGCTCTTGGTCACGAACCGCGAAGAGGTTCCACCGACCGAGGCGGAACGCTCCCTTCGGCCGAGCCGGCGCGCAAAGGTGAGGGCAGGAGGGCACGTGAGGGGCAGGCAGAGGGGCTTGAGAATCGTCCGATTTGTTTGGTGTTAGAAACAATGTTCGCTATTAGTAACGAGTGCATCGCTTCTAGTAACAAGTGCCTTGCTAGTAGTAACAAGGACGCTACAAGGAACAAGAACGCTACTAGGGGCTCCTGGCCTTACTACTAGGAGCAAGAAGCTAGTAGAAACAATATATAGAATTAAAAGTAATGGTGTTTCTTGAAGCAAAAAGAGCATTCGCGGCATTCTGCTGTTTAAGGACGTCTTTCAAGCACCAGGAACGCATGTTCAGATGCAAGGGAAAAAGACATGACAAATACCAAGGGTACGGGCTTCGGCAACTCTAGCCTGCCCTTTTCCAGCGTCAGGTTTGAATGAATGGAAAAGCACGTGCACGTAGCTAGAAGATACTAGTAGCTCCTGGCCGTACTACTAGTAATTAGAAGCTACTAGTAACAAGGGGCATCGCTACTAGGAACAAACACACTAGTAGACAACAAGCGCACACAGTCCATTCTTGGCTGTCGACATTTCGAGATCACATTTGGAGAATTCACACCTATCGCTGTGCCTGGCATTAGTAGCTTCTTGTTACTACTAGTAAGGTGCCTTGTTACTAGTAGCGAACCTTGTTGCTAGTAGTAATGGCCTCCAACCTAGTAGCTTCTTGTTATGCCTGGCATAGAATCTGAGCCCGAACGACAATCCGATTCTACGACGAAGGATTGTGCACTTCCGACCGTGCCCCAGTTGGGCGACCATCAAGGCATCATTTGCACAGTAAGAACCTCTTAGTGTTCCACACAAGAAAGATACACCCGTGCAGCATAGATACGACAAGCATTAATTAGCGCTTGGCAAAGACCTAAACACCATCCCACTATGCTTTCTTGAGAAAATGTAATTACGTACGCAGTCATAAAACTAAAAGTAGAAGAAATAGCGAAGAGTCACTCCTTTCACTCCTTTCCCTCCGATCGTCGTCGTCCTTCCACAAAGGGCCACGGACTCCCAACTTTCCAAGGGAATACGCCAGCATCGTGAAATACTTGCCGCCCTCGGGCTCTTTCCCGGGGCGTCAAGCAACAGATTGGCTAGGGCCGGGAGAGGCAGCTAGTAGCTAGAGGTAGGTAGCTAGTAGTAGCTAGTAGCTTACTTAAGCTACTAGTATGAATGGACGCAGGATAGCTCACGCTTCTTCAAGGACGCTCCCGCCACCCTAAAGGCGGCCGAGGGGGGAGCTTCCTTGAAGTAGCGAACATTGCTCCTAGTAGTAAGGCCAGGAGCCCCTAGTAGCATCTTTGCTCCTAGTAGCGATGCCAGGAGCCCCTAGTAGCTTCTAGCCCCTAGTAGATTTAATTTGGTTCCTAGAATTTTAGGGAAGCTTGACTATAGCGATGGCCTCCAACTTAGTAGCGACGGCCATGGACACAAGATGAAACTTTGTAACATGTCAGAAGTGGTGCGGAGAAGAACATAGAGAAAAACTTTCTACTTCCAAGCGTCCAGGGACTCCTTGTTGGCCTTCATGAGCTCAAAGGTGAACACCTTCAACAACTCCACATCCCGAATGCCCAGCCTGGAAAAACTCTGGACATGGGACGCTTGCCAAAGGGGCTCCTGGCCTCGCTACTAGGAGCAAAGGGCATCGCTACTAGAAGCAAGAAGCAGAAACAAGAATTGGAATTAGAATTAAAACTAATCTATAAATTTTAATTAGATTCCTTTGCTAGCTAGTAATTACAATTCTAATTAGAATTCTTATTGTTACTAGTAAGGCACTTGTTACTAGTAGCGATGCACTTGAATTCAGAACAACTCCGGACATCGGACGCTTGCCAAAGGTGCTGGCACTACGAACGGAGCAATGTTCGCTGCCCCCCAATTCATCAGTTCTTTCCCAAAACGATCGGAGATGATAACATCAGTAACATCAGGCCTGGCATAAGCGTGAAGTATCACCACCATGTTTTGAGGATGCATGCGCGCGACCCTGTGCGCTTGTCGAAGTTCAGCGCTGTACTTCTTCAAGAGCCGTAGTTCTGGCCAATCGAAGCCTTCGGCTACGGTTTCCCATCTTCCACCAAAGCGCTTTGGAAAAGAGCAAAACAACCTCTGGCCCCATGGAGTCCGTCGCTAGGTTGGAGGCCGAGGCCATTGCTACAGCATTCCAGACGAATCCAACGACACGATTCTCCATGATTCTCCCAAACATTCCGTCTTCTAATTCTAAGGACTCTAAGGAAACAAACAAATCATCAGCCTCTAAGTCTAAGTTGACTATTGTTTCTACGCAGAGAATAACGCATCTCGGAAGTACGAGCGAAATCAGATTGCCCAGAAAGGCCCGATTCATTCAAAGAGGAACATATTTAAGCATGATCACAAAAAGCGAAAAAAACAACAGCCCTTAGTCGTACCAACTATGACTAAACAATCGTTCTGCTTGATGGTACGTCTATTCAGCTTCTACGTGAACATGTCCTTCCGGATTGCAAAAGCACGGACAACCCCTTCAATTGAACATCAAATACATTGTATGCTTCGCACTTTCTTGGAAGGTCCCTTCAACTGGAAAGGACCGAAGGGCGTGGGAGGCAAAGGAAGGATGAAGAAGCTCGACGTTGGAAGCAAATGCATTGAGGTAGGGAACAATGCTTTCTGTTAGAGGACATAAAGCTAGCTTCTTCTCGTCAGGTGGGCGACGACTAGTGAGGGCTAGTGAACATGTGCTAGAAGGGTGAGTCAAAATCCTGCCAAGCAACGCATCAGTGAACATACTCCAGAAAATATTAAAGACAAGAACTATTATGATGAGATATCATCCTCATCGGATTCTCTCTTTAAGCTTTTAGACCCGTTTCCCCTTCTTCCTTTTTCACTCCTTTCGTCTGGTGGCGTGCCAAGAGGACGGCAAGCCACAGCAGCGCTCGCTGGTTCAAGGTGTCAAGGTTTCGTCGGATCCGCCGGGTCGCGCGGAAGAGCGTGAAGCCTCCTGACGAACGGCTTAAGAGCGAAGAATAACAAAAACACACAAAGGACCATGAAAAACAAAGAAAAACACAGAACAGTTCTCCCTTTTATTTTCTCTTCTTTTTCTTTCGTATTTAAAACACAACGAACAGCACGTAAATTAGTGAATCATCTCAACATCTGGGAAGGTAGGAGGACCAGGGTACCGTACCGGGTATGCTCTTATTAAAAAAACACGTGCTCATTTATAGGCATGCATTGCATCTAGAAAAAAGACAAACTCCGTAGTAGGAGGTACAGGAGTCGGTAGAGGAGGTATAGGAAAGCACCTGCGTTGTAGGTCTTAGGCGCAGGCAACGCTGAGTGGAATGCCGTAAGCCTTGGTACAGAACTCATGCTACTTAAGTAGCTTCTTGATTGATTTCTAATTGAATTCTATTTAGATTTTGAATAGTTTTAATTCTAATTCTATTGAATTCTTGTTTCTAAGAGCTTCTTGCTACTAGTAGTAAGGCCAGGAGCCCCTAGTAGCGTGGCGCTTTGCTCCTAGTAGCCCTCCTCCCTTTTAGGCGGGTCTTGGCAATGACGTTTGATGTTTCAAGAATAAGACAAAGAATACGAGTTGTGGAAGGAGGAAGGCAGCCAGATTTAAAGAAAAAAAACACCCAGGTAGAGAGAAGAGAACGCTGGAGACAAGAGCCGCGGTATGTCGAAAACTCTAGTGGAACTCCTGGAAAAATACCATGATGAGCAAACTCATAGAGGATGCAAACAATGCCTTTGGGAGATATGAAGTGCAGCTTCTGCCGGAAGAATGCAGCCACAATCCGAAGAACTTGTGCCCACAGTTGGTGCTCTTTCTTCTCGAAGTTGCATGGCCGCAAGCGCCTTTTCCGCATCCCATAGAGTATCCTGAGAAGTGTACAAATGTGCTTAAGTGCTTCATCTTGTTCAAAAATCTTAGTGTTTGCCATCGTTAGTAGGCTGGAGGCCATTGGTACTAGGTTGGAGGCCATCACTCTTAGGGTGGAGGCCGTTGCTAGTAGTTAAGTCTCCCTAAAAATCTAGGAACCAACTCTCTAGGGGCTAGAAGCTACGTTCGGGGCTCCTGGCATCGCTACTAGGAGCAAAGACGCTACTAGGGGCTCCTGGCCTTCCTACGAACGGAGCAAGGGCGCTACGAACGGAACCAAATCAGTGCGTGCGCTTTACACTTTGTCCAAATGAGGCAAGATGCCAAGCCATATCAAACTCAGTCCAAATCTCTGCATTTTGGATTAACAACTTGAGCATGCGGTAATAGAAGCCTCAAGTGGCTTCAAGCTGCTCTGAGGTACGGTTTCATCAAAGAAATGTAAAGTGTTTATGACTGAGCACTATGAATGTGCGTACTGTGAGTCACACTGTGAGTACTGGAGTCTAAAGCAAACTGAACAACTCAGTGATCCGTTTCTCCAAGTCATTGCGGCCGTCGTCAGTGACCTACCTTTTATAAAGGCGACCGTCGGTCGACTGGAAATTGTTTCAACTTTGCATTGTCTGTTTTTTCCGCTTCACTGTTTGCTTTTCTATTCTACAAAAACAATATATAGATAGCAAGCAAAAAGGACAAGACACTTCTTTTAATCGTTGGTTATGTTCCTTTAGGTAAATCCAAATCCATGACTGAGGTCAGAATGTGTCGAGACTGGCGTATGGCAACACTATCTACAAGGGAAAGTGTCCAAGGCCCGGTCGTGCCCGGTAGCTTCGCCGTTCGACCGAGGGAAGCGAGGGAGGCACACGAGCGTCCCTGAGGAAAGTGTGCGAAGTGTCGAATTTCTACATATTCCTATTTGTAAGGCCTGAGATGGCCTGGGGTCCCGGGCCAAACTAACAAGAACCTCCAAAAATTGCACTAAAGGCCTTAGGTCATCTTTGGTCACTTTAACTACCCCTTTCTCTTGCAACAATGTACTCTCCTCCCTGAGTCAAAAACACAAAAACTACAAGCAGATTTAAAGGCCGTGGACATATGCGGCGAAAAAAACATCGCACAAAGAAGGCAAGCCAAGCAAAAATAATGACACACTCAATCTGAGGTCTCATTGAGATGTACTTTGCATTTTCTTCACACTTCCACATGTTGGCATACTTTGCAGTCGTGCAGCCTTTGCATTTTACACATGTTCAGAGGTACTATTATATGACTGGAACTGGTCAATGTCTTTTGTTTCAACGGAATTTGTTCACAATCAATTTACACGACCGCCTAATGGCAACTTGCAGGTATCACGTGAGGCAAGCAAGCGAGTCGACTCTGACCTGAACTAGCAGGGATGAGCCGGCTTCGTGACAAGGGACGTTCCTTGATCTTCACATTGGCTTTTCCCAAAGCATGCAACACCAATGAAATCTGCGAGTGCTGCAAGCCAGGCATGCCACTTTTAGTTTTCACAGTGTGGTGCTCTACCGCTCGCCTTAGCTCGACACGTCTGTCAGAATACTCAAACTGTTGTTTAACAGAATATTGCATTGTTTCTACTAGCTTCTTGTTACTAGTAGTAAGGCACTTGTTCCTAGTAGCGATGTACTTGCTCCTAATAGCTTCTTCTATTGGTTCAAAAACGAAAACGCTTCTTTTCGATTCTGCGCTAAGGCTCGCAAGGTCCCACCACATCTGCTTTTCTCGGATACTAAGACGTCCGCAGGAAACCATTGCAGCCACCAACCTGTCGAGGAAACCGTGTTTCTTGAATCGCACGATAGGTTTCAGCATTCTTGCTGGAACTGCTGAGACCAAGCATCGCTAGTAGGTTGGAGGCCATCGTTATTAGAAACAAAGAAAAAACGAACAGTAAGAACGGTCTTATACGTATAGTTTCCTATTCGGTTGGAGGACAAGAAAACCTTTGCACACCCCAAACATCCAAACTGTGACGACGACGAGGGGGTGAACATGCCATGAAAAGCAACATGTAAAAGAACCCGGCTTGCTTTTCGAGCATGTTTGCAGCTGAACAGTTTATTTGGTATTTGCCGACTGAAGTCATGGTAATTATCGTCTTTTCTAAACGCGTTGAGTTGCTGAGCCGGTGAGAGTTGCTTCACATTCTCTCTGAGCTCCTTCTTCAATGACACGTAGCGCCCGTCCCGCTCGAGGATCGCATCCCGGATGGAGCTCCGAGAGAGCTCTTGAAAATGATACACCTCAGCGGCACCATCCGAGTGGTGAAGTTTCTACGAGTGGTGAAGATTCGATAAAACATGCCTTTTTAGCAGAAACTTGTACTTTCCTGAACTCTCAGCCTCTCTCGTTCTCTTTGAGCTTTTATTCTGCTCTGAAAACATGGTAAAAAACAGGAACACAAATTTAACAAGCAATCTAAATTAATGACGAGAAAAGTAAAAAGAATAAATTCGGAACAAAGTTAAAGGTCTTTCATTTGTTTCTTTTTTTCCTCTCTCCCTCTCTCACATCTCCTTTGGGTCCGCTTTGCGCAAGCGATTTCCTCGCCTTCAATGAAAGCTTCATGTCCTCTCTCTTCGCTCCCAGCTCGTGCAGCCTTTGCTCCGAACAAAAACAGAAACGCGCCGCGATCACCTTCATTGCAAACATCGTCGAACATGGTCAATCAACACTGAAATCCCAGAAAAAGCGGCCTCCAACCTAATTAGTGACCTCCCAGAAGAAGCGTGAGAACTGTGAACGAGAATGGAAACCTCCGGACTCGGCGAGAATGGCCACGAGACGTAGTTTTCACCATTCGCTCCTCCTCTCTGGACTTGAAAGGCAGCTCTACGCCTGGAAGGTGTTCAACTGAAAAGAAGAAAGGGACATTCTTGCGTAGTGGTGAGGGATTGAGACCAAAAGCCAAACAGTGTGCTTGAACCAAAACACATCTGGAGGCCATTCCTAGTAGGTTGGAGGCCATCGCTATTAGGTTTCTTTTTCTTTTATTGTCTCGTTTCATTATCATTCTTTCTTCTTTTCTCTTTTTGTCTTTGGAGGCCATTCACGTGGCGGTCTGTGCAAAAGTTTAGCAAGCTGTGAGTGATCAAGGTGAGAGAAGTCATGACTGTAGGAGGAATGAGACCCATGAGGAAGTCACAACGAAGATCACATGGTTTTGCTGTGCGGATCGAAAGTCACACATATGGCCCAGGGATGTCTTGGAGGTCTGCTTTTGCTCGCAACTGGGGAGCTTTCGCCTTGCTCACGAAAAAACATCCATTTTCCGTGGTCGATCGGTTCGAAGTTAGATCCATTTCTCAAAGGATTTTCCTGGTTGGAGGCCACCGCTATGAGGTTTCTCTTTTGTGTATCTTTGTCTTTCTCAACAAACTTTCTTGGTCTCATCTTCTTTTCATCTGTAGGATCGTTGGATTGCCCGCATTCGAAGCAATGATTTTTGGCCAACATTTTCTACACAACCAAAGAACACATTGCAAAATCTAAAAGTTTTTAGGACATCACCAGTTTTCAAATTTTAGTGTTAATCATTTTTTCAATCACTTCTGAAGCGAAGTTCGAAAAGGCAGCCACATAGGCCAGGTGAGTTCACACCTTGAGGGTCTTCCAGACGGGATGACCCAATCTGCAAAGGTTCTGCAGTTTTCTGAGAACTTTGATGTATCTAATGTATCTATTAGAGTCTAGAGGCCATGACCTCCAACCTATTTATAACTATAATATTTAGTGTCAATGTCTTCTGTTCGACACATTTTGTGGGCACTCAAAAGTGCAAAAAGGCCTTCTTTGAAGCACTCTTGGCAAGGGGTGGGTAGTTGCCACACATTTCCTTATATAGGTGCTCCACGGTTTGTATGCGCTCATGTCGATTCCTTCACGATTGTCGACACCCGTAGCTTCGCCTGAAAAAGTCCGGACAAACGTCAGAATCCTCTGCTGTTCCGAACGCCACACCGCGTGGTGCACGCACGACGGCGCGCGGCACGCCACGCGGCGCCATGAAGGAGCCATGGCCGGGCGACAGCTTCATGTCGCTGCACGTGTTGTATGTGCTTCAGAGGCTCCGTTCGTAGCATCCCTGCTCCTGGTAGTAAGGCCAGGAGCCCCTAGTAGCATCCTTGCTCCTAGTAGCAAACAAGTCACCAGGTCACCATCGGTTTAAACAAGCTCCAAACAATCAACGAGAATGGAAAGGTCTGGAGCATTAAACATTAGTCCCGGGGCACTTGTCGCCTTTTCATCACCTTCTCGGTTTCACTTCATACCAAACACTATATACCTTTCACCTCGAGACTCATGTTTTATACAAGCTGCGGAAGGAATCCAGCCCATACCATTCGCTTCATAACACCCTTCTGTGATCTGATGCAGAAAAATGCCTTCGTCGTGTTGCAGACTTGTTCTCTTGTTTTGTAAGTTCTACTGCTGCTTGTTCAGCATCTTTGTTTGCTTGACTTTGCTTTGCAATGCTGCTTTGCAATGAGTGTCCTCATGCACGCTGTCTTAGTGTCTTTATTTAGTTGGTTCTTTGACACATACAAATCCAAAGGATAATGTCACAAGCTGATTCTGAAGGCTCTACTCCGACCAGAAGCTAACAACAAGCACACGTTGTCACTTCTTCTCCGAAAAGCACCAACCATTTGATCATAAACGTGTACATCCCTTTCAACTAACCCTCAACACCAACAAACTGCGGTATGGTTCCACATCTTTACTACTAGGAACAAGGACGCTACTAGGGGCTCCTGGCCTTACTACTAGGAACAAGGAAGCTACGAACGGAACAAAGGGCATTACTAGGAACCCAGGCATCGTGTTCTCTCAAGTTCTGTCCAATCCCAGCTGCTGGTCCCAGCCCTTTCCCCGTTCCGTCCACTCGGTGAAACGTGTGAGACGAAGACGATACGCACCTTTGGTGCTCACCGTCTGTGGCTCAAAGAGCCGATATGATACTTCGGTGCTCACAGCTTAAAGAGCGTCGAAAGAAAATAATTTTTAGTATAATGCTATGCGTCCGATCGCTCCTAGTAGTGCCCTTCTTACTAGTAGCTTCTTGTTAATAGTATGGCCAGGAGCCCCTAGTAGCTTCTTGTTAATTCTATTTATTTCTTGTTTCTAATAAACATTGTTCCTAGTAGTAAGGCCAGGAGCCACTAGTAGCATCCTAAAATGTCTTTCGGTCGTCCAGAACGACTGTGACAGATTCTTGTCTCTTTGGATGTGAGCAAGAACGACAATGTCTCGCCATATGAGAGACTCTCGTCGTCAAGAGATGCTCGAGAGAATTCTGAGGATGAGGAGCGCCTTGACGCGAAAGTGATACCATGTCTTTGCCCAGTATCAGCACACAACTAGACTACACTTCGGGGAAGAGCAAAGAACATCCAAGATTCAGCCGAAATTACTGATTGAGCATCGAGCTACTAGGACGCTAGAAAAGGTGGAGGCCATCGCTCTTAAAAGTCTTAGAGGCCATCGATTCTACGGATGTGAACAGTCTGGGTTGGGGCAGGACACTGAGAGTGACGGTGATGGTGTCACCTATGGGTGCACAATGTCCATGTCTTTTTTGGCAATTGCAGGGTATGTGAAGTAGAAACAATGTTCGCTACTAGGAACAAGTGCATCGCTACTAGTAACAAGTGCCTTACTAGTAGTAACAAGAAGCTAGTAGACACAATAAGCTAATAATTAGAATTAAACTATTGCAGGGTATGTGAGGGCTTTTCGGATACTGTAGAACTATTCGGACATGCTGATGCGTGCTTTGCTAGGCTGCACTCCCTGATAAGAACGCTTTTGAGATAGACAACTCACATCTCTAAGTCCAGTGCGAATCCGATGGAGCCTCCTGCCATGCACTTCTGTCGTGCTGAGGTGTCCAATCTTTGTTTCACAACTCCAGAACAAGGACGCTACGAACGGAGCAAAGGGCATCGCTACTAGGGGCTCCTGGCATTACTACTAGGAACAGCTACTAGGAGCAAGGACGCTATTAGGTGGAGGAGGCCATCGCTACTACGGGAGAGGCCATCGCCAGTAGAAACAAAGAAAAAAAGAAAAGGAAGAACGGTCTAAGAACCTTAATAGCGATGGCCTCCTTAGCGATTAGCAGACTGGCAACAGGAAACTCTCAATTCGCCGCGGTCCAGAACTCTTGCTTGTGGAGACACCTGAAGGAGGGTCTAGGCCAGTTTTCGGCCAGAAACAAAAAAACAAGATGATTTCTCCGCACACGCGTTCCAAACCTGCCACCCAGAAAAATGTTCTTTAAGAAAGTCTGTTGCTTCCAGAAGTTACTCCTTGTGCTATTAGGTTGGAGCCTATCACGACCTCCACGAATCGGGCACTGGAGTGGCAAGCACTTGGGCGAACGCTTGCGTTTGGGACGTCTGTCGAACAAACTGAAGGTTTTTGACTCCTTCACGACGCCTTCGGATTCGGAAAGCATAGTTCAAACCCAGGTCCAAAGACCCAGCTAACACCCCTGTCCTTTAAAAAGGAACGAAACCCGGAGGCGGGTGGGGAGAATCGTTCGAAAAGGGAGATGTGAGCAGAACGGAATGCGCAGCAAAAAGAAGTGATGTGAGATGTTGATGTGAATGTTGTACATCTCCTAAGCTCTATAAAGGTCCAAAAACGACCGCAGCACAGAAAGGGATAAAAAACACCAAGGACAAGTGTTCTTCCTCTTCTCGTCTCGGGTCCCTGAAACCTCGACAATCCGTCTGGACTTCTTTTTGTGGATGAAACTGTTTTGATTTTTTGAAAGAAAGAACATGAAGAAAGAAGGAAACATATCTGGTCGATATAGTCAAAAAACAAAGGAAGAAAGGTCTAAAGAAGAGACTGAGACCTCCTAAGTCTCGAGGTACTGCTGTCGCCACAAGGAAGCGCTCTCTATCTGCTGTGCTCCCGAAGAATAGACATCGCTACCATCCTACCCGACACATATCTTCAGAAACAAACAATGCATTCTTTACGACGAAAGGAAGGAAAAGGAAGATCTAAACATGTGTTAAGGTGGGAGACAAAGAACGAAAGGAACACTCACATAAAAAAGGACAGGTCAAACACAGTAAAGAACAACACCGATAAAAACTTTCAACTTGTCTTGGTTTAAACTACGTTTCTTTGTTGCACTGCTATGCCGTGTACCCTACGCCGCGACTTCGCCGCCGGTCAGAGATAAACTACTTTTCTTTGAGTTCTTTTTCTTTGCTCCTAGTAGCTGCGTGTCCCTAGTAGTAAGGCCAGGAGCCCCTAGTAGTGTCCTTGTTCCTAGTAGCGATGCCCTTTGCTCCTAGTAGCTTCTTGTTACTACTAGTAAGGCACTTGTTACTACTAGCGTGGCACTCCTAGTAGCAAAAAAACGCTTATTCGCTTTTTGTTCGACTTTGTGCTCGGTTTCGCCGAAGGGCGATCTGGCTGCGGCAACGAGCTGCAGATGGGATGTCTCGTCCTCAGCGACGCGACGCACCGTGAAAAGCAAAAACACGAGGTGTTTCAAAGTGGTTTCAAGAAGCTACTAGAAACAAGTGCCATGCTACTAGGAACAAGTGCCTTACTAGTAGTAACAAGAAGCTACTAGAAACAAGTGCCATGCTACTAGGAACAAGTGCCTTACTAGTAGGAACAAGAAGCTACTAGAAACAAGTGCCATGCTACTAGGAACAAGTGCCTTACTAGTAGGAACAAGAAGCTAGTAGAAACAAGTGCCAAGCTACTAGGAACAAGTGCCTTACTAGTAGGAACAAGAAGCTAGTAGAAACAAGTGCCACGCTACTAGGAACAAGTGCATCGCTACTAGTAACAAGTGACTTACTACTAGTAACAAGAAGCTGGTTTCAAGAAAGAACACACATGTCAAAGAGAGAAACGCTAACATATTTCCTAAGGTATTGAAAAGGTCTAGAATTGCACGATATGGACGGAATTTGACACAACAACTACATCACTTTATGATAAAATTGAAGAAAAAAGTCTTTCACTGTAGCAAACAATCCTACATCACAAACTTGAGAAGATCTAGCCATCTTCTTACGAACAACTCCACTTGGGCAACCTAGCTGAGCGCATTTCGTTCTTAAGAGCAATAAGTGCCTTACTAGTAGTAACAAGAAGCTAGTAGAAACAAGTGCCACGCTACTAGGAACAAGTGCCTTACTAGTAGTAACAAGAAGCTAGTAGAAACAAGTGCCACGCTACTAGGAGCAAGTGCCTTACTAGTAGTAACAGGTGCCTTGCTTCTAGTAACAAGAAGCTGGTTTCCCGGTTCTTAAGAGCAATAAGTTTCGGACTCGTTCGCATCTGGGCCAGATGTTTCAGCTCCCTTGCCCTGGCAACAGGTCGGCTGTTTTCTGCACGTCGGATGGCCTCTTCTTTTTCCAACCTACTAGCGTCCTTGCTACTAGTAGCTTCTTGCTCCTAGTAGTAAGGCCAGGAGCCCCTAGGTGGCGTCCTTGCTCCTAGTAGCGATGCCCTTTGCTCCTAATAGCTTCTGGTTACTAGTAGCAATGGCCTCCATCCTAATGGAAACTTGTCAAACAGGATGATCCTGCCTGGCTGGCAGGGTTCACTCCCATGAAGAGTTCTTGTTCTCGGTAAAGATAGCCTAACAAACGATCTGGAGCCGGTGAACAAGTCGACAGTTCGTCATTTAAGTGTAAAAGATACCAAATGATTGCAAACAAAGGAACAGAAGAGAGGAAAGCAACAAAAAACAAAGCAAACCATTAGAAGGACACCAAAACGCAGCAAAGCTGAGGTTCTGACATCCTTCAGGCCTGCTACAGGATCGGACAGAATGACACAATACGACACGAACGTGCCGTCAAAAAACTCCCCAGGGTTTTCTTCCAACCTAAGAGCGATGGCCTCCTTCCTTGCTTTAAATCCATCTTTTCCAGCCCTTTATAGACTAGCGTCCGATCGCTCCGTTCGTAGCGATGCCAGGAGCCCCTAATAGCGTCCGATCGCTCCTAGTAGTATATGAAAACAACCTGGAA